GTTATTGTTGTGTACTGATGTATTTGGGCTCGGCCTCTTGTAAGCCGCACCGAGTCCTTCGGGAGATGGTAGCGGGGTATAAATAAAGATTTATTATTATTATTATTATTATTATTATTATTATTATTATATTATTATTATTCCTAAAAACATGTACATGTCAGTACATTCCAATTATTTCAGTAGAGCCTGTATTTGAGTATAATTTGCAAGACTGAACTGTTACAACTGAGAGAAGGGATAAATACTGTTTTTCGCCACATATAAGTTGCACTTTCTCCATTATTTTTTGTGGGGGAGGGGGGGACAACTATTTGGGGGTGGTGATAATTGCATGGCAGAAAAGCCCCCTTTGATGGGCATGGCTGCAACTTCAAAGGGGACAGGCACACAAACGATGAAGCTTCACCAACCGGTGCACCTGCAAAGGGTATATAGCGTCACACCCCTGCGCGGTTGCTCCCTTTGAGGGTGCAACTGTGCGGACGGGCGAAGCATCACCTCCCCTTAAAGGGACCACCATGCAGATGGGGGATGCTTCATCTGCCAGCGCAGTTGCACCTTCAAAGGAGACAACCACACAGGTCAGTGAAGTGAAGTGTCACCTGCCTGCACAGTTGCCCCCTTGGCAAAAGGGAAAGAGGGCAGGTGAGCGGGAGAGTAAATTCAGGTGGGTGCGGGAATGATTTCATTCCCCCACAGACCTGGCCAGAAGTCGCACCCTTAATTAACTCACTCCGACAAGTGAACTAAGGGTATGACTATTATGTAGGAAAGTGCAAAATATCAATTTTGCCTTCTCCAAAAGGGGGTGACTATTATGCGATGAAATATGGTACTGTATATTATTTAATAAACAGAAGCAGTGGCAACACTGCTGTTTTGCTGTGTTACGTGTGTCATGTTCTGCAGTGGCACTATTCAGATAACCAGCTCACTCTTCAGAGCAGAAAAAGAGCAAGAAAGGGTTAGTGTTCTCATGTAGTAAAACAATCTCGAGTTATTACTTGATCACTGCGATGCACTTGGAGTGGATGTGGATTATCGTGAGGGGTGTCAGTGCAACTGACATCGGCAGTCTCAGGGAGAAATAATATATTTTACCAGCTGTGCTCTGTTGTGATAAATAAGGCAGATCCAATTTTATGCTCAATAAATAGCAATACTTTGCTTTGAGGTCTGCCAAAATAAGACATATATGATGTCCTTGGCAATTCATTTAATCACCTGAAATGATGAGGTTTGGAATTTCTTAAACTACTGTATATGTTAAAAAAACGACACTATTACCTGGATTTCTGAAACAGAATATTTGTATTCCCTGTTGCCAGGACGCTATGAATCTAGAAAAGCAAATACACACACCAGAACTTGTACATACAATCAAGGGTTATCTCTGACCTTGAGGTAGATAGACTATTACTACATCTTTATTTTAATTTGGTGTGAAGAAATATACGGTAACTCAGAAAAATGTCATGTGAGGTAGTTGATGTTGGTGTGGCTTTTACAGTCTGATTTTAGCCATGTAACTCCTAAGTAAGTTTCTCTGGTGTTTTTTAAAAGAAGGATTTACTTCCATGTGGGATTTCCTTGATCGTTTCCAACAGGAAAACACATTATGCTTTGTGCCCACAACAAGCCTTGAATATAAGTAGGTAGAAAAGCTAGGATTTATAGATTCATCTTAAGTGTCCATCTGTTTTCTCTGAGTGGTGCAGCATGGCAGAGAACTTCCCTCGTCCCTCCTTCATGTCACTCCTGGAAGCCTATGCACAGCCAATTGGTGTGCAGAGGAGAGTGGACTCCCTCCTAGGTTGATCTGGGAAACAGATTTCAGTACAAGTTGGTGGGAATGGAGTAAGCTAAAAAATGCTTTCTCCAGAGCTCTTCTAGCATTCTGGTATCAACTATTTATTTATTTATTTATTTATTTATTTATTTCGGTCATTTGTACCCCGCCTTTCTCACCCCCTAGGGGGGACTCTGTTTCCCACTTTTTTGTCCCATGTAGCACTTTGGAAGTATAGGCATATAGGATTATGTTCAGCTCAAGTGTGGCTTCACTTGCTCCCTCCTAGATGGCTAGGAAGATGCACAGTAGCTTTGGTCTGATGTGTGTTTCCTAGGTGTCGCTTCAGGGTTACTCTAGCAGGTAGGGTGAAGTTTGCATTCACTGAGTAACAAAATTCCTGGTTCCAGTATTCATATTCTACATCTGTAAATAATAAAACACGTAGCCTTTTTAAGATTCTCAATCTAGTTGTCTGATCTACGAACTCAAGCCAGCAACTGACCAGTGACCCAACTAGACAAAGGTGGTGCATTAGAACGTGACAGAACTTGGAAAACTTTTTTGGCAATGTTATCCCGGAATCCCCAGCTAGTAAGGTGAGCAAGTATCCTGGGGTTATATAGTCCAATATTTTATTTTATTTATAAATGTTAAATAAATGTTGGAGCCCCCGGTGGCACAGTGGGTTAAACCCCTGTGCCGGCAGGACTGAAAACCGACAGGTTGCAGGTTCGAATCCGGGGAGAGGTGGATGAGCTCCCTCTATCAGTTCCAGCTCCTCATGCAGGGACACGAGAGAAGCCTCCCACAAGGATGATAAAAAAATCAAATCATCCAGGCGTCCCCTGGGCAACGTCCTTGCAGACGGCCAATTCTCTCAGAAGCGACTTGCAGTTTCTTAGGTCGCTCCTGACATGACAAAAAAAATTATAAATGTTTGCAGGGATGTCTGAAGTAAGCATCAATGGTTAGAAAATGTATGCTAAGAAATAATAGGAGACTCAATGTACCTATCAGAACATGTTATTAGGGGGAATGATACAAGCACTGGACAACAACCATTTACCTGCACAGTACATATGACTCAATTATTACTAGTAAGGATTTCTCAGGAACAGTAACCTCTGATTATTGCTGAGGAACTCTTAAGCAACCAAGGTTCAAGAAAGAAACACCATAATTTCTGACTGAACTGGGACCACTGTGATGCTTATGTGGTTTATTCATTTCTGTGCACATTCCATAGGCCAAGAAAAATAATTCCACACTAACAACTATGAGTATTGTATAGAGTTCAGGAAAATATAGGAAAGAAATAACAACAACAACAAGTGATTGCACTTATTTCTTCAAAATGGATAGTGTCATTCTGTTCACACAGAAAAATAAACTGCTATTCTTTTTCCTGAAAGAGAATGTGTGAGCCTATTTCGAGTTCAGCACCTGGGTCAGCTCCTTTCAAGCTCAGCCTAAAACTGAAATGGGTCATTCCTCCAACGATATGGAAGAAACTGGCTACTACTAACTGCAAGAACTTATTGAACTGCCAGACGAAAAAACCTCTAGTTGCAGCAGAAGGCAGGTCATCATAAACTTGAAGGATACTGTGAGCTGTTCACAGTTTAAAGTACATGGCAGTTCTTCGAAATCTTTTTCTTCCAGTTAAAGAAACTGTTTCACAGATTCAGTAACAAAAGGGAACACAGTAAGTGACAAGTCACAAGCTATTTTATTCCACAGACAGAAATAGCACCATAGAAAGCACAGTCACATGTTCTCAGTTTGTACAAATGCGGAGTAATTTGAAAGCCCTAAGCTTGGCAAAAATGTGTGTACAGGGAACAGGCATCTACTGCACGCTCAGTACTTCTCAGACACTTATATATATATATGCTATTCATGCCGAAGTTAATATATTTCAAAGTTTGGATATCGTGCACATTGTGATGGCAGATTTATGCACCATGATGACTTTGAAGCAAGTCAAGGTTAAGAACTGTGTGAGTGTAGACAAATGCCACATGGATGTGAGTGCCAGGTGCATTATCTGTATTTGGCTCAGTATGAATATCAGCAGCTGTAATGTTCAAGTGGCCTCCTGCTCCATGTTTAATGAGTGCCATAGCTAGTTGCAGAAATGCATTAGGAGGAGACACTGAAACAAACTGTTCAGCATATAAAATGCACTTAAGATAAACAGATATTTTAAAATGTCATTTCAAAATTATTCATTTTTTTAGTCTGCTGAGCGCCAGGATGGGAAACCCTTTCGGTGCAAAAGCTTCTCATGGAGCCGATTTTAAATTGTCAATGGTAACTACATCTCTCTCTTTTTTTCTCTCACTTTCTGAGAGTACTCTTATAAAATTACACAGGGAAAACTGTACTCAGTTTCATAATATTTGTTATCCATGTGTGCACACAAGCTCACTAGCTCATGTTAGCATGTCAGCCAGAAGCCTCCAAATTTAGTGTCATGCATACATTTCCCTAGGAGCAGACTTATACCACTAATGTTTACCCCATAACTTACAGCAGAGGCAATTATGGTGCTCCAGGAACATTCACTACAGATGAACAGACAAACAAAACCATGTGGGATCTGAAACAAATGGGTTATCTTAGCAAAATAGGACTTGGAAAGGTTAGAGTTTTTTAGTCTACAGTTCCCCAGACCACGCAGACTTATGGTGTGTAAATGTGAGTACATTCTATCTGCTCTGAAACAAACATCTCAGAATACAGAAAATGTGTTTCAAAATAATTTCCATCATACCCTGTGATGCACTGCCTGTCTTCATCCAGAACTAAGCCACTATTTAAGTACCTCTCAGCTATTGTGCTTCAATAATCAGGCCTTATGGCTCAAAAACTAGGTGCCCACTACAACTACACCCTGTCTTCAGGAGTGACAAATGGGCCTTGGCTGTAGAAAACCAAGGATTAAGGATGATCCATAGGGGACATGCAACAGACCATCCAGCAAGAGCAAGTGGGTGCAATAATGCCTCCCAAACACAAGGTTTCCCATTCCTACTTCAGCAGATCTAAAATGTCTAAATTGAACATTTATATTAGATTTCCAAATAATGTGGACCTAGGGCACCGGCAACCAGCTCTGGACTATGGCACATTCCATTATGAATGGTTGTGGATTTATAATGGAATGACATGGATGGTTTTTATAATCAAAAAACACACTGACCTTAACACTACACAGGTGGAGCAGCATAGTGACTCGTCAATTGTAAGTGCATCAATTCCTGGGGAAAAGTTCAATGAAGTTAACTCAGTATGTATCCCAAAGTGACACATAAATACAGAGACATATATTTATATTTATGTATAGGAAAAAAAACCCCACAACATTGTCTTATTCCCCAAAACATACATTCCTATGCCAGTTTATATTTATTTCCATTATGGGTTCAGGGAAGGTGAAGAATGTGTATATTTTAGCATATCTCTATTAATCTAATGCTACAGACTTAGGTGATAAGTCAGTAAATTGATAAAAAACCCAAAAGGAAACTCTTAATACTAATTGGAAAGCAACATAAAATGCATAGTTTTATCTCGTCTAAGTATATAATACATTGATATAATACATTTTGAGCTGGTAACTAAATAAAAATGTATCTTAGTTGTAGCCCACATTTTTGGGCTACAACTAAGACAATTCCTTACAATTGGCTGTGTTGACTACAATTTGTGAAAATTGAAATCTAATACCACTGGAGGGCCAAAATATTCACACTACTGGCTTACAGAATAATAAATTTTCACATGAGCAGCACAGAAATGAACAATTTTTTATTTAATTTAAGATTAAATTAATGTAATGGGCCCAAAAATGTGCTGCCTGAGCACATAGTCATCCAGTATTCTGAAGCGAAGAGTAACTACTTGATGAAACATTAAAGTAGTAAAAACTATTTTAAAAAATAAAAAAGAACTAGCAGGTTGCCATGTTCTACAATACTGTGCTAAAAATAATTACACTTAGATACACTGAATGGCTTCTGGAGAGAAGCTTCAAAAATTACATCCCAAAATAAAATTAAAACAATATTTTAAAGTCTTCTATTTTTAAATATATATATATGCCATTGCATTCCAGGAACATTTGGTGATTTCAACATCAAATGAATTCAGAAGGTTAAAGGTCTTCAAGATGACATTTAGGGAAATAGCCTTTTATCATTCAGGCAAGAGTCATACAGTATAATTATTACTCAATGCCTCATTATGGGCCTTTGTGTCTGGATTATCAAGTTCTGCAAGTATTTCTACAGAAATACCCTGTGTCATATTAACCCAAATTGGCTCCATACAGCATTTAGCTGCCATGGGGCTTATCCAAGGCTACACTGATCTAAGTGCTTAGTGTAAATGTATGCCCTTAGTTTTAGTTCCTAATAATACAAAGATGTACAATCCCCCCCCCAAAAGGGGGGGGGGTGACAGAAATGTTGGTAGGAAACATTTTCAATTTTTTTTCTTTTTTTCCTATGTGGTAAATTGAACAAATTGATTTTAGAATGAATAAAATATTTAAGATAAATAAACAAAATTGTTTATATATTTATTATTACCACATTATCAGTAATATATATAGCCAATAGACATTCATGCAAAACTATGAATAATATTTCACACCATTATAACTCAGTATATTTTTTACAAAAATACGTGCTTATGCCTGTTTGGCACTAAGAAGGGTTCGAATAGACCAAATATTTGTTGCTGTTTTAATAATGTTATTGTTTTATTGTTTTCATACAATTTTAATTGGGTTTGGCATTGGGAGTGATTAGCGATATAATATTTTTGTTGTTGTTTTCATAATATTGTTGTTTTAATTTTTTTTCATCTGTTTTTAATGGGGGGGGGATTGTCCCTAAAAAGGCAAAATTTCTCAAGATGCCATAAAGACCATCATTTATTAGTCTTACTAATAGTGAACCAATAAAACAAGAGTCTTTTGAACATCTTGAGATATGTCTTTCATTTCTTATTATAGATTCTATTTAATGAAGTCCAGTTTTTTGCTTTATTTTGTTTTAGTCTGCTCTTCATAAATTGCAAAAGAAAAAGGATTATTTACAGTTCAGGACGTTGGAGCTCCAGTTATAACAATAATATTTTAAGAAGTGAATTGCATTTATAATTATTTCTTGAATTGTGTGTGTGTGTGTGTGTGTGTGTGTGTGTGTGTGTGTAATTTCAGGACACCCGTTAATTTATGGAAACTCCATGGACTTCTAACAGTTTTCTTAGGGAAGAGTACTCAGATATGGTTTTGCAAGTTCCTTCCTCTGAAATATAGCTTACAGCACCTAGTATTCATTAGTGATCTCCCATCCAAGTACTAATCACAGCTAACCTTGCTTAGCTTCCAAGATCAGCTATGATCTGGTGCCTTTACTGATTGTGTTATGTACTGATTATTTTAACTTGCTAATTGTTTTAACTGCTGTTTTGTATGTATGTATATCTTGTGTAGGCATCAAATCGTGCCTTTTTGTAAGCCGCCCTGAGTCCTCCCCTGGGGGTTGAGAAGGGTGGGGTAGAAGTACCAGAAATAAATAAATAAATTTAGGATATTACCTTAAATACAGATCAAAGGGAGATCAAAGAGAACTGGGTAAAGACCTGTGGTATCAAACCCCAGAAAAATTAGTGAAGTATAGTAAGGGGAGGATTGATAAAAAGTGCTGGAGATGCCAAAAGAAAGTGGGAACATTTAAACACATGTGGTGAGATTGTGGAGTTGTTAGAGAATTCTGGTCAGAGGTATATAGAAAAATGGAAGAGATTGTCCAATCCAAGTTTGAATTCAGACCAGAACATTTTTTGCAAGGAATGACTAACTTTAAGCTGAATAAAAACGATGATAGGATCTTTTTTTATTTGACCACAGCAGTGAGGATAAGCATTGCCCGTGTATGGAAGACCAAAGATACAGCAACTTTTAACTTGTGGATTAATAAAGCTATGGATATCATGAATATGGACTTGTTGACACAGAAAATAAGGAAAAATAGAACAAAGGCAGATAATACTGATTGGAACAAGTTCATTAACTTTTTAGAATAATTGTTAAAAACAGAAAGGAAAGAAGATTCCCAGAAGTTACGACAAAATAGGTTACCAACCAACCATTTAATTAAGATAAGTTAGAAACGAAACCAAACATATGTTCGCTAGGAAATCCTGGAAGTTAAGGGGAATTTATATGTATATATGTATATTTATGTCAAGTATGTGCAATGTCATAGGGTAAAGGGGGATGGGGGGGCAAGGCTGGGGTTAGGTAAGTAGGTAGGGAGGTAGGTAAATAGATAGGGACGAATACGAATTTAGGATAATGTATGTAGGAATGTAATATATACAGAAGGAAGTATTCAACCAATAATAATAGTAGCTCTTTTAACTTGTATGTATGTAAGTTATTTGTCCTGTTTTGTCCTGCTTGTCTATTTGTTGGTGTTGTCCAAATCTTTTTCAATAAAAAATTAATTAAAAAAATATAGATTAAAGGGTTGCAAGAGCTATCATATCCAACCCTCTGATCAATAAAAGGGCCATCAAGTCCAACACTTTGATCAATAAAAGATTTCTAGCTACAACATTTCCTGTAAATAACTGTCCAGGCTCTGAAGACAATCAGAAATTTATAATCTCTCTAGATAACTGGTTCCATTGCTGAACTGTTATTAGTATCAAGCAATACTTACTCTCCTGAAACTGAGAACCATATGATCTAGGACAGGTCTACACAGGCATAAAAAAACAAACTCATTCTGGATCTACACTGTTATATAATCTAGATTATGAAAGCAGATAATCCACATGATCTAATTTGAATGGGATTGTATGAGTCTAAACTGCCATATAATCCAGTTCAAAACAGATCATCTGGATTTTATATGGCAGTGTAGAAGGGGCTTCAGTTGACTCATGACTGTCGTCACAATCTTCCTGCACTTCTGGTGAGCATCATGGCTCATACTTCCATTGCTTTATTTCAGGAAAAGTTAAGGGATAGACTTAAATGTGCTTGAAACTCTGGAGAATCTTATGGTTTCAGGACAGTTTGGACAGTTGGATCATGTCTCATTCAGACTGGGACACTGCCAGGATACTACTGCACAGAACAACACCACAACAATGTTCCTTTCCCTGGGCCCACCAGCACAAAGAAAAGAGGATGGACCATGACCTTGTTGCTGCTGTCACCACTCCCAGTCAGCGACAGAGCTCCATACAAATTCCTGACCATTGTGGGCACCCCATTATCACATCAATAGATGCACCTGAGTGACCAGGAAGAAGTTGGACTGTTAGGACTCCTCCTACTTCCTGATTTTGCAGGTGCCTCAGCTGATGTCAGAATGGGGTACCCATGACAACCAAGAGCTCTACAAATGGCTAGGATCAGTGATGGTGACACAGAAGGGGAGGTAACAATCCATTCCAGTTGGACCAAGCGGACATCAGCTTGCTGCCAGATTTACTAGCAGTGTAGATTTGTCCCCAGTTCTACTATCTAAATCAGCCTATGACCTCCTCCTTGTGGTACTCTTTGGAGTGCAATCATGTCATTTTCCATTACAGTAATTTCTTCAACAAGTTGGACAAGCCCTATTTCTTCAACTCTCCACATATGCTTTGCTCTCCATACTTTTTATCACCCTTGTTGCCCTTATCTGAAATTGAATCAACTCGTCTATATCCTGTGTAGAACATAGGACTCCAAATGTATATTAAAATGTACCAAATATATTAAAATTAAGTGAATCTTTCACGTTTACTAATAATAATATTTACTAAATACCATGTTCACAAACTTCTGCTATCTCATCTGCATGAGAACTCAAGTGGAATTTCAAGACTGAAAAGTTTTTTCTTAAACTAAAGTTTAGGTAGCACTAATTTAGCTGTTTTGGATTTGAATACTATATTGCAACTCAGCAGCATGCATTATCTTACTGATAAGTCAGTGTTCCTTAGAACCGTAGTTTATTGTGATGAGAGAACTGGGTCAATGAATAAATATGACAGGCTTACTCTCCATGAATTTGTCAAATTGAACCCTGTCAAACTAAATGAAATTACCACAGCATTTGCCAAGAATTCTACAATTAATACACTGTCTAAAGTAGTTTCTAAAATCTATCCTGACATGATAGCTCCACTGGTTGATCTACAAGCATCACCAGGTATTTCCCACCCATTCCAGAAACATAGATAAGATCTA